TGGTGATGATGAAGGCATCAAACTTATAAATACCATTGATGGCTCGATCGCAAGAGTTCTTAAAGGACATAGAGGATCCATCACTGGCATAGCTTTTGATCCCAAAAGTGAATACCTGGCTTCAGTTGATTCAATAGGGACTGTTATGCTCTGGGAACTCCAGTCTGGGAACACAATTCATGTCTTAAAAGGAATAGCTCCTGTCATTGGTTCTGATTTTTCTTCTACGAATATAGTTAGCTGGAGTCCTGATGGGGATCTATTAGCTGTTCCTGGCTTGAAAAATGATGTGGTGATGTACGACAGAGACACTGCAGAAAAACTGTTTTCTCTTAGAGGTGATCATGTACAACCCATTTGCTTTTTGTCTTGGTCACCAAATGGAAAGTACATGGCTACTTCTGGACTAGATAGACAGGTTTTGATATGGGATGTTGATAAGAAACAAGATATTGATCGGCAGAAATTTGATAACAGGATAACTTGTATGGTGTGGAAACCAACTGGCAATGCATTGGCAGTAATTGACATCATGGGAAAGTATGGGGTTTGGGAATCAGCTGTACCTTCTTCAATGAGATCTCCCACAGAAGATATTCCTGGTTTAAGTTCTAAAAGTGGTCATGGTCTTCTTTTCTATGATGAAGAGGAAGAAAACCCCAGTGTATCTGGTAGTTTAAGTGATCTCGGAGAAGATAGTCAAGGTGAATCTGAACCATTCAGCAGAAAAAGATTACGCAAACAGCATAGTTATACTGATGATTGGGAAGAGGACACAAATGAAGAGTTGGAGTTACTTCCAAAAGTTGAACCTCGTAAGAAGGCTCCTCATGGTCACAGGGATGGTTCAGATAATAAAAGAAATAAGTTCAAGGATGTGCCAATTTCTACAGGGGCAAAAATGCAAGAAGCTATTCAGCCAGGCGCGACTCCGCAGCTGCCTGGCAAAAGGCGTTTTCTATGTTACAGCATGCTTGGCAGTATAACCACGATGGAGCATGAAGGATACTCTCACATAGAGGTATTGTGCCTTGTTTTGTTTTGTGTGTGTCTATCTGTATTTCTATCCTACAACTCTACCCTCATTAGTTATTTTTGTTCTTATTATACAAAATTGAACTTTGTGCTTGTTTCCACTGCCATCTTCAATCGCAAGTGATTGTCTTTTAACTGTTTCATGGCTAGAATCTGTGATCATCAATTTGTCAACAAAACTAACTAGGGGAAAACAGCTAGTAATATTTGGTGCATTCAATGTTGAGAGGACAATTTATCCAATGTTTTATAGTTCTATATATGAATTAGTTATTCAGCTAACATGACAACTTCAATGCAGATTGATTTTCATGACACAAGCAGTGGTCCCCGAGTCCCTGCAATGACTGATTATTTTGGGTTCACAATGGCTTCATTAAATGAAAATGGAAGTGTATTTGCAAATCCATGCAAGGGTGAAAAGAATATGAGTACACTCATGTATCGACCTTTTGGTACCTGGGCAAATAACAGCGAGGTTAGTGATTTACTATCATTCCATGTGTATATCAGGAGTATGTGTATGCCAAAATGTTTTGGGAATCTAGTGTTATGAAACTTATTACTTCAGTGACTAACTCTGATTTCCTTATGCAACATCAGTGGTCAATGCGATTTGAAGAGGAAGAAGTAAGAGCAGTTGCACTAGGAACTGGCTGGGTAGCTGCCATTACTAGTTGCAATTTTCTTCGCATCTTCACAGAGGGTGGCCTGCAGGTATATATATTCAGATATTGTTTCCTTAAGTTTTTTAAGTTGCTTCCATTTGTGTCAATAATAATCTCCCTTTGCTTCAGATTAACTGTTTTGTTTGATTTCATGCAGTTTTAAGAAAGTAACATTTGTTTGTAATAGAGTTAATGGAGGTGCAGCTTGAATTTGTATTACTTCTTGACAGTTGTTTCCAGATTGTATAATGGATTGGTTTTTGATTTATCAATACTTTTTGATTATTTATATAAGTTGTGAAAATGGCCATTGTTTTAGCATCACCTGAAATAGACTTAAGACACTCATCTTGAAATAGATGGAGTATATCAAATGTCATAACAAATCTTTTGATTATTCTGGAAATGATAACTGAGAGTTCTTTTTCTTTGTTTGGATTGAAATACAAGAGGCATATTCTTTCCCTTGATGGACCAGTGGTTACTGCAGCAGGCTTTAAGGATGAACTTGCTGTTGTCACACATGCATCTTCCCCTCTTCCCTCAAACGAACAGGTATAGTTCATTATCATGTCATGTTGTTAATATATTTTGTTTCACGTTATGTCAACAAGGCTATATAGTGGCTGTTTCTCTTCACTTTCACTGAACTTGGATTTTCTCGTCGAACGTAATATATGCAAGTATTATTTGGACTGATCTATTGATGACGATTGGAGAAGAGGTGGGCTGGTTTATTGATAATAGAGCTATTTGAAATCCCATACAGATTCTTGAATTTAGAGTCTTCAATATTCGTACTGGAACACTACCTCGCAGAGGAAGACTTCCATTGACTCCTGGTTCCTGTTTGTCATGGTTTGGTTTTAGTGAAGAAGGACATCTCAGTTCTTTTGACTCAACGGTGAGAAAAACATTGAGCATTAATTCTGAGACCATTGTTTTTTCTTAAGATTGCTTAATCAAAGTCGGTTGCTTAACTGCAAATGTAGGGTGTGCTAAGGGTCTTTACTAATCAATATGGTGGCAGTTGGCTTCCACTTTTCAGGTATAATAACCTCCCTGTTTGTCCACTAACTGCATTGATGTTACAGATCTTGTTCATTTACAATTTAGAAATTTTAGTGCCAGCAAATTGAAGAAGTCAGAAGAAAACTATTGGGTTGTTGGGTTAAACTCAAGCAAGTTGTTCTGTGTCATTTGCAAATCTCCTGACTCCTTTCCAGAGGTATAATGCTTTGTTGCTGTGTTTTCTTCCATATATATGACAACACCTTTCTAATCCTCTGGCTGTATTTTCAGGCCACTCCTAAACCTATTCTCTCACTGTTGGATCTTTCATTCCCTCTTGCATCATCTGACCTTGGATCAGAAATCCTGGAGAATGAATTTATAATGAATAACATGCATCTCCACCGGGTATGTGTATCTTAAGATTTTCTTGCAGCTTCCAGAAAAATCAGTGAAAATTCATGTTGATATGCCATTTGCTGGATTTACATTCAGATTCAGAGCACAATTGAAGAAATGGAAGCTACTGGTGAGGACGCCAGTTTGCTTGATGACGAGGCTTTTAATACTGAAGCTGCTCTTGATCGATGCATCCTGAGGCTCATCGCGTCCTGCTGCAATGGTCAGTTTTCTGCAAAGTTGGATGCAGCAAGTTTAGAGTACTTCAGTTTCCTACTTTTCCATTCTGTTTTATTAAATTCTGATATCGGTTTCTCTCCCCTCTCTAATCAGGAGATAAGCTAGTGAGAGCTACAGAACTCGTAAAACTTCTGGCTTTGGAAAAATCAGTCAAAGGTGCTATAAAGCTTGTTACAGCACTGAAACTGCCAAATTTGGCAGAGCGCTTTAATGCCATATTGGAGGTAGGGACTGTGACCTCCATGGAAGCATATGACTGTCATTTTGTTACTTCACATTTGTTATTCATGTTACATTGTATTTCTACAGGAAAGAATGAATAAAGAAACAACTGGTGGCAAAATTTCTGCATCTACTGAGTTGAAAGGTGATAACTCCTTTAATGCCCATGCTGCATTAACCAAGTCCCATATTAGGGCTGAAAGCAGCCAAAGATTGGAATCACAGGATTCTCCATCCCTAAATTCCTTAGCTCCTTCTCATATGAAAAAACGACCTCTAGAGGAACCAATCAAGGATGTAAACGTAGAGTCAGAAAATGCTAAAGCCAGAAAATTGGAAATGGCAAGGGAATTCAAAAATGCATTTGATATGAAGAATGTTAAGAAAGTGAAGGATGAAAAGGACAAGGTGGATGAAGTGAAAAATGCAAATGAAGTGGAAGATGCACAAGATAAGAATGGAGAAGCCAACAAGGTGACAGCACAACGCCCCTCTAATCCATTTGCAAAGTCATCGAACAACAAACCAAATACATCCTTGTTTGATTCCTTAAAGAAAAAGGTGAAAGCGGACAGATGATGCCTTTGTGACTGAAATGACTGGGCAAACTTGCTTGTTATAGAGGTTTTTGGTTGTATAATATTTAGGGTTGTGGTAGTTCTTGTATCTATTTAAGCAAACACGATGTGGAAACAATTGACAAGACTCGAAATTTGAATCTGATAATCCTTACTATTTTACAAATAAGGATACTACACCGTTAGGTTGCTACCATCCTGTTAGTAGTAATTGTCCAGTGTTACAACATCCCATTGCCCCGTTATTATGGTCAACAATTCACTTTGTTTTATTATTTGTGTGAGAAAGTTAGATGAATTTATACCTTAAAAAGATCAAATGGTGTGGATGACTATTTCTGAGAGATTATGTGATATTATGTCCTTTGTAGTTCTCATTAATTAAAAAATGGGGCCCTTAAAAATATGGAGGCTTCAAGTCATTTTATCATTGAGCTGACACTAGTGGGGTAATTTATAGTAAAGAGATTGTTTTTTAAAAGGGCATTTTTTATGATTTGAATAGTGCAATTCTCACATTGTTAATATACATATTTAAAAAAAAATTATGATGAAATAACTATAGTAATTGCTTACATGATTAAATGCAAATATCAATTGGTAATAACTTTGATCTACATTTTAAAACAATTTTTTGAATAGTTTATGAATATATAAATTATAATTTTAAAATATCAAATTAATCTAATTTTATTTATTTTCCAAAATAGTTAAAATATTAAATGTCACTAGTATTATTTGTAATTTTTCCCATACCATTTACTATGATTTAACCAAACACTCCAATTTTCAAACAGACCGGTATTTTGATGTTTTAATAGAGTAATTTCACACGCCAAGAAAATGAACTGCTTACTCAATACACGCACACCTAACAAGAAAACCATCATACAAGGAAACCAAAAGCCACAAAACGCACTTCTTCACACACAAAAAAACGTATTTTCTCCGCTTCACCAATGGCTCAGGTCTCCATTTCGCTGCTTAATTTCCTCAACGACGGCGAAGATGACGTTATCGAACATGAAAACGACGTCGTAGAGGACCTCGACTCTTCTCCTTACTGGCCTCTCAGTTTCGGTGACTTCGATGTTTACGATCCCCCAGATCTCTCCGATTTCGCTTCCCGTCCCCAAATCTCTTCGTATTCTCGTCGGAGGACTGGTTTGGCCTTAAGCGACGATGTTTCAGAAACTGATTCGGTTGTCACCGTCATGGACCGCGAGAACCAAGTAAACTTTGTTATGGATATGTTTCAGCAACGGGTCGAGCAATCTCAATCTTTGATCCGTGTGGTTTCGAACCCTGATTTGCTGCATGCGGACCCGGAATTGGAGGCCGATTTCGGTTTGATTGGAGGAAATGAGTTTATGGGAATGAGTAGCTTAGACGTTGATTTTGGGCTAGGGTTAGGTTTTCGTGGGGTTACTGATAATTCTGGATTCCATATTGAAGATTGTGATGGTCCTGAACAGTTTGTCAGTGGATTGAGGGTTGTGGATAATGAATCTGACTGGGACCCTGATGACAACTGCGTTTCAGGCAGATTGTTCAATCTGGATGAAGTTGATGGCGATGACGAAGATGAGAATATTCGTGACAATGAGAGTGATGACCCGAGTCTTCGGCTGTGTTGGGGTTCCTTCCAATTGGAGGATCATAGGGATGTGAATGAGGACTTTGAGTGGGAAGAAATTGATGGAAGAGTTGATGAGAGAGAGATTCTAAGCATGTTCTTAGATGTTGAGGAGATATCTGAATCTCCTGCTCCAGAGGATAGAGCAAGAGAGTTGGAAAATTTGGAGTGGGAGTTTCTGTTGAATGTTCAGAATTTTGAGCCAGACCCAGAAATTACAAATGAAGAATTCAATTTCGGTCGTCATATGGATCAAGACGATTACAATTACACTACTGAGTATGAGCTATTGTTTGGACAGTTTGCAGAGGGCGATAATGGTTTTGTTGGAAGACCACCAGCTTCCAAGACTGTTGTTAGAGACCTTCCAACTGTGGCTGTGAGTAAAGATGATTTAGAAAAGAACAATGCTACTTGTGCTATCTGCAAGGATGAGTTGAATTTGGGAGAAAAGGCTAGACAGTTACCATGTGCTCATAGGTATCATGGTGACTGTATTCAGCCTTGGCTTGGGATTAGGAATACCTGTCCAGTTTGTCGATACGAGTTGCCCACTGATGATCCTGGCTATGAGAGGAGGAGAAGGGTCCAGACTACTCACACACTTGATCAAATTGATTGAAGGTATATTTTTTTGCATTTATGTAGATGGCTTGACAACAATCAAGCCCTGGAGCACTGGGTCTGCTCTTTGTTGATATGCTGTTGAAGTACTTTTTGGTTTCCTTGAATTAAGATTGTTAATATACTAGATGATTTTGATGTCAGAACTATGTGGATGTCTTATTGCCTTGACCACATGTTTAAAACTCTTATATATGATGCAAGTTCAGAGAAAGAAGGAATTGTTATTAAGTTGATTTTTCATTGTAAGATTAATTTTACACCCTATAGATTGTATAAAGCTCATAGATATTAACTTTACATATGAAGCAAGTTCAGAGAAAGAAGGAATTGTCTAGTTAATTTGATTTTTCGTTGTAAGATTAGCATTACACCTTATAAGTTGTATAACGCTCATAGATATTAAGACTCGTTGATATTCATCAATCAGTCTCTGTAGATCTTATGTTTGAACCATGTAAAAGTACTTTCCAGTTTGGAGGGAAAAGAATGTTCCTTTTTTTGGCCAAATACCTAGATAGGCCCTCAAACTTGCACGATTTGCCTGTTAGACGATCCAACTTAACTAGAGACCAGATTGACACCCCTTTTTGACAAAAGTGTGTCAGATGAGCACCTCACACCTCACGTTGACATAGAAAGTAACGTTTATACGTACATTTGAGCGCGTGAAAAGCTTTATGTATGATTTCTCTTCTAAAAAATCCCCCATTCCTCTAAAATTGCTGGTGACAAAATGAAAATAAAGAAAACACTAAGAAGCAAAAGGCTAGCACCATCAGATGCGTCCCGGTGAGACTCTTTTTCGGTGATGGTGAAGGTGATAGTTCACTGTCTGGAAACAAAGGGGAAAAGAGATAAGATGCAAAGGGTGGGTATTTTTTTCCGCCTGGGGAATTTTCAGCCAGATCAGTTTGGGTAACAGCCTTCACATACAAATTCGCTATCCAAATGACCCTAAATGGATTGAATTCAATACTTTCTATTTAAAACTTTTTTTTTTATAAAATATTACTGAAATTTTTTATTGTTACAACTTGAAAGTATTATTATACTGACATAACTTGAAAATACTAGCCTTATATATGACATTTATAAAATTTTCACTTTCACATGCAACCAAAATGAGGAATAAAAATTAGCACCTAATAATAACATCTCCTAAACCATAGCTTAATGAAGATCACCCAATCACAAAATAATAAATTGCATTAAGATGGCTACAACTCGACCTTCTTAGATCAAAACATACAAATAAATTGGTTGGTCCTATTAACAAACAGGATCCTAATAACCATAAAAGGACAAATATACCCCCGAACTATCGTAAATGGTATGCAAATATCTTCCGTCATACTTTTTGGACATTGATGCCCCTGTCGTCCAAAAACTAGAGCATATATACCCTTTATACTAACGGACATACACGTGTCATAATCTTATCCACTGATCCGACATTTATCATCAGCAAGTAATTTTAACGCGTCTGTTTTTGCTGACCCATGTGTTTAAGAGACATTTTTGTTGATTTGAAGTATCTATTTGGTCACTTGTTAAGTTGGATTGTTTAACTGGTAAATTGTCCCAAGTTTGAGGGGCTATCTAGGGTATTGGCCTTGTTCTCTCCTTCTACAGATGTTTAAGATGAGATATTCTTGCTTGTTTTGATGATGGATTCTCAGTAGTTGGAAATTGAGGACCAAGGAGTAATTGGCGGTGAGAATCCCTGCTTAAAATTGAGCATAAGTTAAATAGCAATCACTTTGGAAGATGATAAAATCGGATACTTGTTAGGGAATTCGGATTTTCCAAATATTTGAGAAGTCTAGCACTTTTTATCATACATTTCTATGCAGAAACAAATCTTTAATAGCAGCTAAGTGTGCTAGACCTGAGAGCATGTATGAGCAAGCTTGTGAATATGTCATGATAGTTTCTGATTCGAGCATGTCAATTAATGAGGCTGTGGATGGATGGCTAAATAAGAACAAGTCTTGCACTAGTTCAATTTATGCATGTATTTTTGCTGTGTTTCTATTTAAGCCGTGTTTGTATTTTGTACTATCAAGATATCACGCCAATTTCATTGATACAGTTCCATGTACTATGCTTTTACGACCACATTACTATTTGCTGCAAATCAATGATTTTTTGAATGTGATCTAATGATTGTATGTCCTCATTGGTGCATGGAATTAACAATTTAACTCATATTCCCTTTTCAGGACATTGTAGGTTTTGTTCATCATGTATAGTTTCAGTTGCTTCACAACTTGGCAGGGCAAAAACAGAGTTCTTGCTGGGACTGGGACTGCTTGCAAATAGCGCGCACCCTCCCCCCCCCCCCCCCAAACCCCCCCCG